TTTCTCTCCTAACTTGATGATATCCGAGAACTTGTGATCCTCAATAACCATCAACCTCTCATAGTATTGGGGGTCTTGGGCTCGCACAAAGAATTTGTTCATTTGACCCTCCTCTAATGGTGGTCGTACCTTGGCTGCCTCAGATCTCCAACTAGTAGCATAGTCTCTAAATGTTTCATTGGGTTTCTTCTTCAAATTCTGAATATATAACAAGTCTGGAGCATTTTCAGTGTGGAATCTGAACCTATCCATGAAATTAGAAGCCATGTTAACCAAGTTGTGCCATTTCTTTGGATCCTGGCCATTGTACCAAGATAGAGCGTCCCCAGTAAGACTTCTCATAAACAGCTTCATGCGGATTTGCTCGTTTTTCCCTACTCTCACGAGCTTATCATAGTACATTCTCAAATGAGCCTTTGGGTCACCAGCACCATCGAACATTTCAAACTTCGGAGGATTGTAGCCTTCGGGCAGCTCAACGTCAGGTTGGATACACAAATCTTCATAATTCAAACCTTCAATACATTTTCCTGTTTCAATAGTTTGGATTCTTCCGGTCAACCTTTTCAACTCTTCGGTCATACTTTTAATCACCATGTCTTTTTCGGTGTGCTCAGGTGTACATTGAGCTTGTTGGGGTGTGTATGGTAAGGTTTTCACATATATGGGGTTGGTTTGGTAGGTTCCGGGAATTTGGGTATATGGGTGGTTATTGATAAATGTTTGGGATGGATCATGGGTGTGAGTAATGGATTGTGGGGAATTGTGGGCAAGGGGATAAACGGTGTTTTGTGAGAGTATTGGATTAGTGTGGTGTTGCGAGGTTTGGAATGGTGGTTGACTTTGGTGTTGCATTATTGGGGTGGCCGGTTTTGATAATGTTGGGTTATTGGAGGGTTTTGATAGTATTGAGTGGTTTGAGGTGGTGGACTTTGTGGAGCTTGTGGCAGCGGATTCAAGGGCGGTGGTTTATTTTGAGGAGGAGGTTGGTTATTTTCAGTAGTGGTTTGGTTGGAGTCATCTTGGTGATTTAAGTCTGGAATGTTCAGGGAGAGGGATAAATTTGCAATGTTTCAAACTTGCTCCAATTTTCTTTGTTCCAAACGGAGGGCCAACTCGTTCTGTCCTGTTAGACTTCCGTCAGATGTTTTCACAGTTTCCTTAGGAGTGAAAATACTTTCTTTACCAGCCATACCGCTTGCATCTTCCATTAGACCTTTTCTTTTGTTGTTAGGACTGCTAGGAGGAGGAGGTGGTGGAGGCCTTTTTGATCGAGTATGATATGATAACACAACCACGATGCACGAATCAACCTTTAGGAAAGGGAATTAAAAAAAAAACAAAGGAAAGAAAAAAAAAATAGCCAAGTTAGCAAGGTGAAGTAACTGCAGCAAAATAAAAATATGTAGGACGTAAACACACAACAGATAAAGATAGTGAAAACCCATTCAATTAGAATATTTAAAGCACGCCCTAACGTGGGGACCTCTTTTTGCCCAAGGTAGGCCTAGCGAATATTCAAGAAATAAATGTGCCAATATATTTCATTCCATTTGCTCTCAAATACCCCAAATTTTTATTAATAATCCAACAATTGTTCATAAGTAAATGACAAAAAAAAAATAATAATAATAATAATAACAATGAAAGAAAAACTCCTAGTCTAGCTTGCAGATGCTCCTTCATCAATCTTTGGCTTCTTCGCAGCTCGGATGGCATTCTCGAAATGACTATGGCTTGTCACAAGGTATGCTTTTTCCATATTACCTCCAACCTCAAAACCCTTGTTGATACATTCTTCCCCTTGCCGACGAAATTCTTCGCTCAACTCTAGCATGCTTTGCTCCAAGCTAAGAGCTTGAAATTGCCAATGCTCTATCTCTTTATCCTTTTCTTCCAGTTCCTTTGCGTGATCCTCAAGTTGCTTTTGATGTCGGATTTCAGAGTCATGAGCCTTTCTTTTGAATCGACGATATAAGATTTATGCTCGAGCCTCTTTGTCAATTATATGCTCCCCTCCCTTGATGCTAGGAGAGACTGACCTTTTTACGTAAGCATGCAACCACTCAATGTAACCAATGACACAACCTGCATGATACATGTCTATTGCTATAGTGTCCACCATCATGAATTTCTTTTTTTTTCCACATATTGAGAATGTCCTTAACAAACGGGATTTTATCGCTTTCATAGTCAATCATGTAACGATTCATGTTGCTTACCCTTGGTATAGTCTGCATTCTCCCAGCTTGCCTAAGAACCCTTATTGCCACGTAGGGTCGAAGGCCACAGACTCCCATCAAAACCAAGTGTGGGGTTTCCTTGGCATAAACAACCAGTTCTGAGGAAGGGAACCGGTCAAACATATATTGGACCGAATCTTCTGTCAAACAATCTAGCAGCCTAACCCAACCTTCAATATCAGCGGGACCTTTTAACTTCTAGACCCCTAAAGTAACTCTCAAGTCATGTGATAGAATATAGTCATCTCCAATAGGCTTGCGAAGAGCTTGCTTTCCGTTAACTTTTTAGTGGTGTTCAATCAGCCAAATTTGAAGTAGCAAATTACATCCCTCGAAATGTCTAGCCCCGTCTTTGCAGTGGCTCAGAGACCGATAGATGTCAGCCAAGATCATAGGAACTATAGTGCTAGGATTACCGTCTATTCCATTAAATACTGCATCCGCTACTATGATAAGTCGGGTGTGAATATCTTCTTTAGCCCCTCGAGAAAAAACCACTAGCCCCAGAAAACAAATGACAAATGCAAAAATTCTCTTTTGGGTCCATGCATCGGGACAGTGCGATTCTATATTATATATCTCTCGAGCGTACCCATGACCGAATCTATCATACAAGTATTGAAGTGAAATTTTTGACTTTATTACATGGGTCATCATTTTGCCTCCTTGCAACCCCAGCTTTTTACGAAACTCTTGCGGTGAAGGATTTTTAAGAATGATCAATTCAGCCCTTTCCCACTTTTATTCCTCCACAACAGACTTGCATTTTCAACATAACCACCGATTTCTTCTAGCAATGGTGTCAATTCAACATCCCCAAATCCGAATACCATTCTTTCCTTGTCCCAAAAGGCAGTGACCGCCTCAATGAGTTCTTTGCACGAATTGACATCCATAAGCAAAGGCAAATGTCCCAACACTTTGCGTACTTCTCCTTGTCCCTGAATGCCCAGATCTCTCCACCAACCCTTTAGTGAATCGGGTATGTACCAGACCATGCTAAACCTTGGATAAGCCTTGGATTGATTCATGATTGCTTGTATTTATAAAAGGTTAGCTTATACCCCTCCCCCAACTTGAGAGCAAATTGTCAACATTTAGGCACATTTATTTCGCAAAAAATAAAAATAAATTATGATGACATCGTTCTAGGTCGTAGACCCTTTTGGACTTGGGCATAGTCATACTATCAGACTTAATATACTAAGTATATTGATTCGACCTAGGTTTATAGAAAATATAATTTTTCTAAAAATCATATCATGGTTGGGCTCTATTGAACAGGAGTAGGTTGTCTAGACCAAAGGTTCCCCCAAGCGGACAACTTGGGAGTGAAAAGTCCGTGACCGTCGGCGCACCGCTGACTGACCTACCCACAGAACTTTCCCTTAAAAGGAATTTTGAGAGTGCACTATCGTGAAAACACGCAACCGCTAGTGTAAAAATTTTCAAGTGGAGGAAATATGAACGGGATGACAATTATCAAAGCGTCAACATATAACAAATATAGTTGAAAACATTAGACATGGGATCAATTTGAAAGAAAAAAATGATGAAAACGATAAGTGTAAAGTAAATGAGATCAACAAAATTTGAACAAATAAACTGGAGAAAATATATGGTTAAAACATATTAACTATTAAAGTAAAGAAAAATATGTAGATACGCAATATAACAAATAAGGAAAGGGAGTAGGATATGCATAGAAAGCAAAACAAAGCATTTTTGTTTTAAAAAAAACAAAGATAAACAAATAAAGGAAGGGGGAGAGGATGTACATTAAAAAAAACAAAGCATGCTTCAAAGTAAACAAATAAGGGAAGGGGGAAGAGGGCATGCATAAAGTGTAAACAACTAAGGGAAAAAGGATGTGCAAAAAAAAAAATAATAATTTAAATATAAAAGAGGAAGAGAGTGTACATGAAGAGTAACTAAAATATAATCACCAAGTAAACAAAGATATGTACGAAAGTAAGTAGAAATATTAACATTATACGAATTAAACAAATAAGGAAAAAAAAGGAAAAATAGCTAAATCTACTTAAAGGCATTTATAAAAAAATAAACAACCAAGGGAATGAAGAGGAGGGTCTATAAAGAAAGTCACAAATAAAACAGTAAAATTATAAGACGAATATAAAGGTAAACAAATAAAATAAGAAAGTAAATCGTACGATCACACAAAAATCCCGCATAGAAATAAAATCCGTTATGGTAAGAATCTAAGTATCCCCAGTAGAGTCTCCATGTTGTCGCGCCCCATTTTCTCGCGAAAGCGGGGCTCGACATGTGACAACTTTTTTAAATGGGTATTAAAAGAGAAGAGTCGTCACTTAATAATTTTTAAGGTGCGTTAGGACACTTATTTGCGAATAACTCTGTTTGACTAGTCAACGTCACCAAAGATCGGGTAAGGGCTCAAATTACCTCGAAGACAAGGTGTTAGGCACTCTTCGAGATCCACAACTGTAGGTCCAGGCCAAATTTTATGCTATGTGGGATTATTGGGTTAAACTAAGTTGTAGGTTGCTGAGTTGTGAATCGATCCTAAGTGGTCAAAGCAATTAATTAAAAGTAGTAACGAAAAAATGTAAGAATTGTAAATCGTAAAAAGCCTACTTAGTTACATAAAAGGGGACCTAAATTTTTAAGCCTGATAGATCAACTCCCGTGCAAAGTCTGCTAAGACTTTTATAGCCAAAAGTGCAATGGCTATTCGGGCATTTTGTGTATCATGTTCGCTACCCTCATTACTACCTTTAAATTGTTAACCTAAGAGTGCACTAATTAATTCTAAATCGCGTCTAACTCAAAACTACCTGCCCCTTCCTATAGTTCAGGAAGTTTCGGACACTATTCTAGAGGGATGGTTCTAGACTTAAAGAAAATCTCAAGTTTCTATTTCTATTCTTATTAGCGTCACATAAAAGGGAGCACATAAAGACTTAACAAGTAACACATAAGGTAAGTAAGGGTTCATGTTGACCTCGAATTAAGTAAATTAACTAAAGCGATGAAGTGGTCTCTTAAATATGCAAGATCCTTGAATTAATATTCAGATATACAATACACCAAGTTTAATAGATGAGATAGCTATATGCATAGGAAATAAGAACAAATGAGTGAAAATTTTACCAAGAATCAACTAGAGTAAAAAATAATAGTTATCGGAATATATAGTATACTCACAAAATTTAAATAAAAGTGAAATATTAGTCCACTGGACAATAGCCTATCACGTAATAAAACCAACAAAAACTAATGATGAGATTAAACATAAAACTCCTTAAGTGTTTGGAAATTGAAATAACTAATAAAAGGATAATAAATATGATTTAATAAAAGAAAGTTCTGCCTTTAGTTTAAAGCTAAAAATAGACCAATAATAAGACATGAAATATTTTTTTTTTTTAAAAACCGACGTACTACTCAAATGCCAATTATGGAAGTTTCATGTAAAAGCAAATAACAAGCAGGTCTTCTTTATCATCTCCTACCGGCAAGACTAGTGTTTATAGTAAAAAAAATAATTAAAGCATATATTGAGAACATAAGTAGAGAAGAGGCGTATGAACGAGTAGCACATGATTTTTCCTTTTCCCAGCAACCCCCATTCACTATTATATAGAGCTTAAAAACTACAAGAATAAAATATAACATGAGCCTAAAGATGACTAAACGAAATCCATGTCTCTCTGGAAGACTCCTCATTAGGACCTTCCCAGCTTTCCAGATCCAAAACTCAGCCCAAACTAGAGTTTGAGACCCTGTCAAGTCAACTCACACAAATATGAATATACATGTCAATAGGAAAGAAATAAGCGACCAGGCCAACATTCAATTCTTGAATAAACTTATAACTTTTCACATACTTAATTTGATTATTGCTATTTCCTAAAAGCATGATATAAGAGCACATTAGAGCATGATATCTAATATTCAATTTAGGCCATTTGCCTATCAGTCATATAAGAGCACATTAAAGACATACATCTAGATAGATTTTGTCACAAACAGATTGTCGACCTCATTTACCATTGAATCCTAAAGGTAACATCTCTAGTATTTAACTATTTATTATATAATCTACAGACCATCTAGATATTCAAAACAAGCAAAAAAAAAAATAAGCGTGGCATATATCCAGTTGGGGAGACAACTTTAAAAATTGCAAAGTTAGTCCCAGAACATGATGTATAGATGACCAAGCCATAAGGTTCTGCTTAATTTTCTTATACCAATCATAGAAGGAAGGCATATATGGAGATTCAAGTGACGTACCTGGGATTTTACTTGGTATGCATTTCAAAAGAATGCCGCACAGCATTCAGCATAACCAAGCGCAAACAAATCGCAGAAGAAAGTAAAAGAGAGACAAAAACTAAAGAAGACAACTAGTCTATTCTAACAAACAACTAGCACGTCAAGGGATAGTAATGCATTGCTTAAGAAACTAATCAGTTGGAGAACGGAATAATATAATAAGAAGATTAGGAATCCAGTAACTTCAACAGTGACAAATAAGCCAATTACTCTTCGGAATATGCCACAGCCCGTGCAAAAATTAGAACAACAATAATGAGAAATCAATACTCGAACTCGATAGGCCCCGATTGTATCGAGCAAATAGAAAGACTAAAGCTTTGTCTCGAACGAAGATAAAGACTAAAGCTCTACCTTGATTTTTACCTCGGAACAGAGGAGAATAGAATAGCTATATAGTGAAAATCGTGATCCAAGGTCCNTGGAAAAGAATCATCCAAATAAAGAAAGATTTAAAATATAAAAACAAGAATTCTGTCAACAAGGAATTGGAGGATTGGGGCGAGATTTGAGTATTGAAATAGGTAAGAAGAGCTGCTGGTGATTATTTTAACAGAAAAGGACTAAAATACCTACTCATAATCGGTGGAATTTGAACCGAAAATCATGAGAGAAATATATGTAATTGAACTTCCAAAATTATGATCCAATCAGTAACAAATGAAATGCCTACCTCAAACCTGTCTACATTCAAACTGATAAGTCTGAACCTGTGAATGGGAAGAAGAGTAGGTGAATCTTCAGGCGCGTCGGCGATTTTGACTAAAATTGAAGCTAATATATTGGCTCATAATTAAGGTAAAAAATCAATTACTTTACGGATTCGATAAGGAAGATAAGTAAGGAAAATAAAGTAAGAAAGGACATAGAAAAGGAATGAGAATATAATAAATCAAATGACAAAGAAACGAGATGAATTTGCCGGTACGGTTTTGAACGAAGGGGAATTGGAAAGGGTTGACTTGAGTTGGTCATGGGTTCTGGGAGAAAGAATTTTGAGTGAAGGGTTTTGGGTATTAATGGGTTAATGGGTTAGGGATAATCTGATGGGTTGTGAAATTTTGGGTTAGAGAAGGATGTACTTTTTCCTCCTTCTTTTATATAATTGGGCTTCTCTTGAAAATATATCTATTTGTTAAAATTCTAATAATATGTTAGCTAAAAAGAAGTAAATATTAATTATTGATCAAAGCAAGAAGACCATATGAATAAAAGCTATGTACTAAAATAAGTTGCTAAAATATCGTGACCTATAAGCAGGAAGATGCTCAAATAAATATTTGTAAAATAAAAGTAGATTTAATGCAATGTGAAACTAAATATATTATGATGAAAAGTATAACTTGCTTGATTAACTCTAAAAGAAACCTCGTAAATGCATGAGTGAGATGACTTTTGATAATAATAATAATAATAATAATAATAATAATAATAATAATAATAATAAATGTAGTTGTGGTAGTAATAGTAATTAGAAGGTAATAATAAGAATAATAAGAAAATAGTAACAAGAGTAGTAATAGAGAAAATAATAAATGAATATGAAAAATTGACCTTATATTGTTATAAAATAAGTTAAAGTAACACATTTGATATACTAACGATATAGAAGCTCAAATAAATAAATTAGAAGAAAGGAGGGACAAAATTGGATGTCAACATGTAGTTGATAAAGTTAGTCGAAAGGCATATTGATCTTGTGACATTCTAAGAAGTCTTATGTAACGACCCGACCGGTCGTTTTGAGCATTTACGCTCCTTTCAACTATTTGAAATCTTGAATAATTTCCAACGAGGTATTATGACTTGTGTGAATTGTTGGTTTTAGTTTTAAGGTATTTCGGAGTTAGCTTGGAAGCTTAAGTTGAAATAGTTGACCGAATATTGATTTATGTGTAAACGACCTCGGAATTTAATTCTGATGATTCCAATAGCTCCGTATGGTAATTTTGGACTTAGGAGTGTGTCCGAAAAATTATTTGGAGGTCCGTAGTGGAATTAGGCTTGAAATGTCGAAAGTTGAATTTTGGAAAGTTTGACAGGGGGGTTGACTTTTTGATATCTAGATCGGAATCTGATTCTTGAAATTGGAATAGTTTCGTTATGTCATTTATGACTTGTGTGCAAAATTTGAAGTCATTCCGGATTGATTTAATGTATTTCGGCACAAGATATAGAATTTGAAAGTTCAAAGTTCATTAGGCTTGAATTGGGGCATGATTCGTGGTTTTAGCGTTGTTTGATGTGATTCGAGGCTTCGACTAAGTTCGTGTGATGTTTTAGGACTTCTTGGTATATTTGGTTGAGGTCCCGAGGGGCTCGGGTGAGTTTCGGGATGATTTCGGACCATTTCTAGGCCATTCTTAGTTGTTGGTTTTTGGCCATAGAGGTATGCATCGCGATCGCAGACAAATGGTCGCGATCGCGAAGAGCAATTTTGCTGTTTGGGCACTGTAAATCGCGATCCCAGAAGCCTTTTTGCGATCGCATAGAGGAAAATCCTATTGCATTGACCCGACTTTGGAAGCTTATATCTCGTAAATTATAAGGAATTTAAAGATGATTCAAAAATGAAAGTTGTAGCCCTTGACGTCTAGTTTTCAGAAATATAAACCAATTGTTATTTGGAGTTATATACAAAAAGTTATGGTAGACATACTATAGGCTGTCCGGAAAGAGTTTGAAAATCTCTGTTGCATAGGGCTGACTTTGGAAGTTTATATCTCGAACTTTATAACGAATTGAGAGATGAACAACAAATGAAAGTTATAGACCTTGGTGCCTAATTTTCAGAAAGTTAACCCATTTGCAATTTGTAGTTTTGTACAAAATGTTATGACCATTATACTGGAGGGCTGTCTGGAAGATGTAGGGGAGTTTGTTCTTCGCGATCGTGATTGGTTTTCCGCGATCGCGAAGAGCAATTTTAGGGCTGAAAATTTTTGTGCTTCGCGATCGCGAAGCATTTTCCGCAATCGCAAAGAGTAAATTTCGAAGTTTCATCCATTTTTAACATATTTGGGGTAAGTGTTCTATATCCGAAAGTGATTATACTTCACGATTCTATGGTTATATTCATCATTTATTTCGGATTTAAATGGAAGAAATCAAGATTTTTGCAAAATCTTCCAAAAACGAAAATTTAAGATTTGGAGGTCGAGTTGTTATCGGAATTTGATAAAATTGGTATGATTAAACTCGTATCGGAATGGGTGTTCAAATTTTGTAACTTTTGTCGGATTCCGAGGCATGGGCCCCACGGGCATTTTTGAGCTAAAATTTTGGATTTTTATGGAAAATTAGCATTTTCTTATGTAATTAATTCCAATGAATTTTATTGACCGAAACGAATTAATTGTGACTAGATTCGAGACATTCAGAGGCCGATTTGTGAGGCAAGAGCAAAGCAGAGTAAAGAATTTCACACACTGAGGTAAGTAACAGTTTTAAATATGGTTCTAAGGACATGAAACCCCGAATTTTGGTATCATGTGACTATTTTGGAGGTGACGCACATGCTAGATGATGGGCGTGTGGGCATGCACCGAGGGGATTGTGACTTGGTCCGTCCCGGGAAACTGTAAAGTTGAATAATTTATTGTTAGCTATATTCTCTCTATGTGTTGATAAAATTTGATTGTAAATCATGCTTAGGCTATGTGATAGTACTGTTGGGACCCACAAAGGTCGCGTACTTGTTGAATTGCCTGCTAAATGCTATATGTACTCAGTCTCAGCTTTTACTTGCACATTTTATCTCAGTCTCTATTATTATTATTGATACATCATATCATTATTGTTTGGGCTGATTTCATGATTATTAAGAGCCCGAGAGACTGGAGAGATTTATGACTGAGTGAGGTCGAGGGCCTGATTGTTAGATATTGATACTATAGCACGTGAGTTGTCCGTGCAGCACGTGAGTTGGCCATGCAGATCCTTATATTATACTATAGATCGTGAGTTGGCCGTGCAGCACGTGAGTTGGTCGTGAGGATCCTTAATTATACTATAGCACGTGAGTTGGCCGTACAGCACGTGAGTTGGCCGTGCAGCACGTGAGTTGGCCGTGCGGATCCAGATAGTTATATTATGGCACGTGAGTTGTCCGTGCAGCACGTGAGTTATCCGTACAGATTATAGCGCTTAGGCTGTAGGAGCCCCTCCGGAGTCTGTACACCCCCAGTGAGCGCGTGTACCCATGGAGAGTGAGTGATGAGGGCTGGGAGCCCAGTGCGTGATGAGGACTGGGAGCCCAGTGAGTGATTGTTGTCCTCAGAGGTTGTACTTGGTTTCCATTTGTTGTTGCACTTAATTGCTATCTGTCATTATAGTGAAATCTCTGAACAGGAACTGTATAAAAATTGATTTGACATTAAACTGTCAGATTTGATAGAATGTCTATTCTTTGCTGGAATTACTGGAAATGAACCATAACTGTTTAGCTCGTTACTATCTTTAGTTCCTTATTTATTATTGTTACTTGGGGAGTTTATTGTACTCATACTACACCCTGCACTTCCTGTGCAGATCCAGGTGTTCCCGGACATAGCGGGTGTTGATCCTTTCGCGCAGTTAATTTTCAAGAGATTTTGAGGTAGCTGCCGTGTTCCGCAGACCTTGTCTCTCCTTCTCTATCTCCTTATTTATTGTATTTGGTCTCAGACTATTATAGACCGTATTTTCCAGACTTGTATTTAGATTAGATACTCATGTACTAAGTGACACCGGGTTTTGGGAGTGATATATTTGAAATTTTGAGATTTCTTCGGCTAAATTTAATTATTTTGTTTTCAAACTTGAGAAAAATTGTAGTTTATGGAGATTTTCGGCTTGCCTAGTATTGAGATAGGCAATATCACGATGGGTGAGATTTTGGATCGTGACAAGTTGGTATCAGAGCTTTAGGTGACATAGGTCTCACGAGTCATGAGCGGGTTTAGTAGAGCCTTGCGGATCGGTACGGAGACGTCTGTACTTATCTTCGAGAGGCTGCCGAACCCTTAGGAAAATTTCACTTTCTTGTATTCTATCGTGCTTAATTGATTCAGCTTGAAACATAACTCTTTGAATTCCTTCCACGCATTCGTATGCGCACATGAGCGCTCAGTATCAGCTATGCATTGCCGGCTTGTGATTCTATGAACGAGGTTCAAGATGTGTATTCTGTGTTTTGGTGATGGGCCAGTCTGGAGGACTTGAGGCTAGGTTTATACCGCAGCTTAGGCTCGGTAGCTTCAGTTGTAATCTGTACATTTGGACTCATATGTCCGATAATGTCCTTACGAGTGGAATTTGTGGCTCAATGAACGATGAAATGGGTTTTTTTTATGAGAACTATATAACTGCGGGATGTGTTAAGACGATTTGAATGTGAAGAGAAGTGTTTCCTTGAAATATAAAGGAAGGCCATTGGGTGCTTTATTTTCATTTTGATGTGACGTACAATCTCGAGTGTGAATGTTTTGAAAGATCCTTCATGTTGTTAAATTTTGGGGCAAATTAAATTTTCGTGTGTGATTAATGAGTTTGGACTCGGAAAGATTAAGTGATTTCATAGTAATTGTGGCTGCGAAAGGGTATACCAATATGCCAATTTGAGACTAAGCAGGTGGATTATCCCCTGCGCAGTAATTTATGTAAGTGTTTTCCTTATGATGTGAATAGAGAGTTTCTTTTCTGCCAGCGGGGTGTATGTGTTGAGACTTGAATTTGAATCTGGTTGAGAAAGTTGACTTGAGTATTAAGAGAATGAATGCGAGATTAGCGGATGATTGAGGTATTTTACGGTTGGTGTGTCTTGATCTTGAGAAGAATTTTCGTTGAACTGACTACGGTATTAAGACTATAATAAAGTATGGGTATTATGAGTTATCAAGCATTTTAATCTATGGCTTTGAGCCAAGTGGGGGAGCCTGTTATTGACAATTCAATTCATGGTTATATGTTAAAATGTTAGTTGGTCTGAAGTATACTTGGGGATCAGTGATGACTTGCAGAGGTGGAGTTCGAGAATGACTCGAGTAAGGAAATTTCCTGAATACGGG